CCCCGGCTGCACCGCCTGCTCTGCACCGCTTGCCCCGCCCCCCCCCACGTTTACCGCTGGGGTCTGGCAGGCCGCGGGCAGAGCTGAGAGGTTAGCGAGGGCGCGCTCCAGGGATCCAAGGATCACGCCGATTTGAAACTCTCCATCGTGAGCCGGCGGCGGGCGAGGGGGGGTGAGAAGGGGTGGGCCTTCACAGAAAGCTCGGAAGTCCCCCAGTCTTCTGACAAGTTTTCTGAGCCCTCCCCGGGGACACGGACAAGTGCTCAGAAGGCTAGAAGGTTTCTGAGAAGCGCCGCCACCTTCTGAGAAGGCCTTCTCCTTCTGATTTGTCCCCCCCTCACGCCTTGCCGAGTGAAAGAATCACGACGGAGAGTGTTTTGCTATTTTCGGCCTCTGGGTGCCCTTACCGGTCTTCGGGACCATCCCAGCACGACACAGGATGAAAAAACAGTCCAGGGGACGTGGTCAAGACCTGTGGGGGTCGACGTCACGGTCGGACCGAGGTATAAGATTCGAGGTCGGTTCTGGGAGGGTGCCCTAACGTTATTCGTGTTTGTTGGAGGTTCTTGTGCATTTTGGTGAGGGTCACCCTCGAATATTCTTCGGTTTGGGCCGGCGGGGGGTCTCATGTTCTTGGAGGATGTTCTTCTGGCCCAGGTCCAGCTAGCGAGGACGCGCTCGAAGGATCATGTCAATGCTCGAGCTCGACGGTGTTTTGGCGATTTCGTGGATCGTTTTCGTTTTGATCTCGTTTCGCGGCAACGGCAGAACGAAGACAGAACGAAGGACAATTACTCCGACGGTAGGACCCCGCACGATAATCGATTTAGTTTGCCGTTCGTTTTTGTCTTCTTCGTCTGGCGGAGGTTTCCTTCCGCCCTCTCCGTCCTCCTTCTCCTCCTCCTGTCCATTCTCGTCCTACTCGTTGCATTTTTCATCCTTTTCCTCTTCCTCCTCCTCCTCCGCCTCCTCGACTTCTTCTCTCTCCTCCTCATGTCCCTCCTCCTCCTCGGCCGTTGCCTTGCCCTCCTCCTCCTTCTCCCCCCCCTCTCATCGCCGCCCCGCTCGTTCTCCTCCTGCACCTCTCCTTCCTCCTGGCGGGGGCGCGCGCGCAGATTTTCCTCGGCGCCCTCGCCGCCACGCCTGGCAGGGGCGCGTTCTCCGACGGCGGGCTCGCGCAGCCGTCGGGGACAGCCCCGCGGGCCAGGCCGTCGGGACGGCCCCGCGAGCCGCTGGCGCGTGAGACCTGGCCGTTGGGACAGCCCCGCGGGCTCCAGACGGGAGGGGCCCAGCGCACAGGCGGCGGGCCCCATAGGGACGGGGCTCCCGCGTCAGACGAGGCTCCCGCTGGACACTTCCTCCACATCGAGGCTTCAGGGGCCCAACAGCGATGACAGTCACATGATCCCGATGACCTGCTCGAACCAAGAACACGAACGATGGGCCCCATAGGGAGAGGGCTCCCGCCTGAGACTTCCACGCAATTCACTCACAGACGAGGAATCCGCCCGATACTTCCTCCATATCCAGGCCTCAGGGGCCTAAAAGTGACGACAGTTACAAGATCTCGATGACCCGCTCGGGTTAAAAACGTGGGCATGGGGGCCCATCGGGAGAGGGTTTCCGCTTGAGACGTCTTCGCAACCCATTCACAAACGAGGCTCCCGCGGGATACTACTTCCATATCCACATTTCAGGAGCCCAAAAGCGACGACAGTTACAAAAGTCCGATGGCCCGCTCGGATAAACACATGAGCAAAGGGGCCCATACCTCCTCGCAGTGCACTCACAGACGAGGCTCCCGCCCGATACTTCCTCCATGTCGAGGGTTCTGGGGCCCAAAAGTGACGACAATCCCAAGATCCCGATGGCCCGTTCGAATTAAAAACATGAGCGACGGGCCCCCATAGGGAGCGGGCTCCCGCCCGAGCCTTCTCGCAATGCGCTCCCTGACGAGGCTCCAGCCGGATACTTCCTCCATATCCAGGCCTCAGGGGCCCAAAGGTGACGACAGTTACAAGATCCCGATGGCCCGCTTGGATCAAAAACGTGAGCGACGGGCTCCATAGGGAACGGGTTCCCGCTTGAGATGTCATCGTAATCCGCTCACGGAAGAGGTTTGCGCCTGATACTCCCTCCATATCGACGCCCCAAGCGCCCAAAACTGTCACACGAGGCTTCCGCATGAGACCTCGTCAAGATGAGTGTGAGTTTGTGAGCATTTGTGTGTGAGTAAGTGTGTGTGTGGTGATGACGATGTTGACGATGGTGTTGTGATAATGATGCGGATGTTGACGATGATGATGGTGATGGATGGGCATGATGATGATGTTGATGATGATGGTGATGATGATGATGATGGTCATGATGAGGTGGTGATGATGGTGATGATGATGGGGATGATGATGGTGTGAGTGTGTGAGCGTGTGAGTGACAGGAACGGGGGGGTTTGGGTTCCCGCGCGGGGTGTCCAGAGAAAACAAGAACCCCACGTTGAGTGAATGTGAGTGAGTGTGTAATTGATGTTGTGTTGATGCTGCGATGATGCTGTGAGTGTGTGAGTGTGTGACTGCGAACAGAGGAGGTGTTCCTTCCATCCTGTTCCTGCGTGGGGTGTCCAGAGAAACAAGAACCCCATTTTGGGTGTGGGGAACAACAACAAAACGATAATGGAATGGTTAGCTCGAGCCCTGGA